CGTCTATACAGTCAAAGTATACAGATGCACTGGTATAATCTCAGAGTGAAGGAAAAGTATAACTAGTTCACCACTTTATATCATGATACAGTGTAAAGCATTATGGTTTTATTATTGTATAGATCCATTATGCATTCGATTTACATGAGAACATCTAAATTTTTTTTTTTTTTTAAGTATTTTCAAGAAATTTTCGGATTTACGCATAATTAAGATTTTAATTTATGTTATACAATAACTTTAACATAATACTATATGATTAGGCCATAGTGGTCTACAGAGGAAACATTTAAGTCAATTTAAAGGCTGAAGATTTAATTTCCAAAACAAAAAATACAGACAGAGCAGTTGAAGCTTTTTACAAAGAAGATAAAAAGGTTTTGAGTGTCACATTTAATTGTATCCTGAATTCCAGCTAATGAGATATTTTTGAATTTGAATTGTAAGAAAATAGTAATTAATGTCGCAAGAATGCCCGAGTCACTGTGGTTAAAATACGTCGTTTTACGTAAATCCGAATCAGAAAATAATTAATTTTAAGAAAACTGACGTTGGACACGTAAAATGTAATCTTTACTTTTAGAAAATATGGCAACACTTAAAATTTGTAATAGGAAAATTCCAGATACTTTTTCTCGGTGAATGGCATTATATCTTTGATTTTATATTGTAGTATCTTTGCTGAAGCGAATGTACTTCATTATACCAATTCCATGTACTACCATTTTCAACAGCTATAGGGATTATTTGCGGTAATGATTTGGTTTCTGCGGGATTAACTACTTATCCTTCTCCTATGCTTTTGTATCGGTGGACCCGTATGCATATATTGCAAGGATGCTGTAGCAAGAGTGAGAGTAACTATAATAAGTCTCAGTCTAGTAAACTTTACGGTTTTGCTTAAATATATTGATCATGTGATCAGATCGAAAAGGCGAAGCGAAAGAGATTTGAAAAATTCAATTTCGTCGAATATAAAGATCATAACATTTTGTCAGCATTTGAGTATATTTCTCCTACGAATCCTTACTCAGTTGTGGCCAATTTGAAAAAAGTTAGTAGGTTAGGAGCACTGAAGTAGTTCATATAATAACATCTAAACGTATTTACATGTATTTTTAATAGCTTGAAGCCTTAAAATTGGAGCGTTATGAACACTAAAATGAATGAATCGATTGGGCACAAAATTTAAAATTTTATTCCAAACTGTTTTTTACTAAATGTGCATTTTTAACATTTTAAAACTTTGTATTTACGAGGGTAACATGGACACTATAAAATGAATAAACAACCGTGAAACTTTAAAATGTAAAATGAAATTACTTGGAAAATAATGCAGATAGGTCACATATATCCCGCAACATTTGAATGAAAACACGACGTACGCGTAAATGCTGTTGGGTAGTCTGGTCGTTTCGTTCGATTCAAATCAATGAATTTTCGCATTTAAAAATTGCATGTTTGGTCAGTATTGATGTAATCTGGCATAAATATGTAAATATTTTTATTTATAGTTACACTGTCTAAAATCTGTAAAAAAAAAAAACGAATCGACGGAAATATGCTATCACTTGCATCCCATCGGGTGCTCATATATTTTTCATTCAAAGATATTTTGAAATTTTTTATGAACTAATTGCCATGGACCACTGGTCATTTTCTGTAACTATTTGCCGTTTCAAGGAATTTGCCAAGGATCTGATGGACTCGTAAAATTTAGGATTCATCTGGTCCATCAAGCTTATCTATATGGTCAAAGAGGAACAACGGTACATTTAGATATCACCCATCCAAGGTGGTGCCACTTCCAATGATTACAGAGTTCCTATTGCATTCGAATTGAAAAATTTTTTGGTTTGTATATGAAGTATATTGAAAGCGTGAATTGTTCTTTAATCGAGTCCCAAAAACGGTTGTAACGGTGTAAATTGTATATAAACATGAGAATGCTCCGACAAAAATATATTGAAACTGCTGGACGATAAACGGAATATTGCAAAGAAAAGTTTGATGCTTTGAATAGAGTTATAATATAGGAATTCGAACAAAGCGAATATCAACATGCCAGGTCAACTTCAGCTACACACAATATATATGTGTGTGTCTAAAAATAACGGTTTCGCATTATTATATTGCCTAACCCTAATAATATATTTACTTAAGGGGTAGAGTCCAATTCATAATTGACACAATGTGACAACTATTAAAAAGTTCATAAGATTATCTTAAATTTAGACGTAGTTTAACTTCGAAACATCAACATTTAGGTGTGTATGGCCCGCGCGTGGTTTAATATTTTACAGATCTGAGATTGAAATATTTCTTTCATCGGGTAAATAGAAAATTCCCGGCTAATTTAGGCGCAATTACATATGAATTCAGGTTAAGTTTACTTACTTTTTCGCTTGCCTATGCAAACTTATCAGGCTGAACGTATCGGCACGCCTTATAACGAAACAATGGTTTACTTTCAAAGGTAAACAAAAGAATTGCGCGCGCTTATCTGACTTATCAAAGCGCATATAGAAAAGTGAACTTAATCTTCAAGTCTTGTGTGTAGTTTGTTCTATTTTCCATTAAACTAAGCATCGAAAACTTGTAATTAAAATGTAATCATTAATTAAATAGTTATTATATCATCAAGATTTCGATAAGTCTCGACATGATATCAATTTATGTTATCTCTACAATCGAGAGTGAAACAGCTAGACTGCTAAAGTTGACTTTCGCCAGTTATTAATGAAGTATAAGGCCATGGTTCGATCATTTTGGACGCACTTGGTGTTTATTTTTGAAGGCTGAAGAACCTCATGTAATTTAACAGTGATTTGTAACAGTTAGCTCTTTACCAGTCGCAAACTACCATGAATAAGAATGCACCTACTCTGCAGTTTACTCATTAAAATAGGAATTCCACATTTATTCCTTGGAAAGCCGATAATATGTCTTAAACATATGGCGAACCTCGGCCGCTGGTCCAGTTACCAGTCCATGTCGGGTATGGGAATAGTAACCAGTTATTGGTGCTCCCGAAGTATGCGAACCAAGATGGCGGACAACGGAACGTAACATGGGTAACAGGTTAGGGTTATGCGAATACTTCGGGAGCCCCCAGTTATTTGTTTCAGATGCAAGGACTTGAGTTGATTAGGATGGGTATATGAAATCGTAGCAATGGATACGCACTAACAAAGGTATACAAGGTATACTCAAACAGCACTTAAAATTGCGACAAATCACTTCGAATGGATAGAGACAATAGAGACGTGAAAGCACCATGAATGGTAGCTGTATAATCCCAAAATCGTAACTGCAATCACCAATCGCCAACAGTGCGCTTGCACCTGTACTACGGAACTTTCGGTGTTGAGATTCGAGGCGCTAAAATCTAAACGTTGTTCAAATCGATGTTGATTTATTTGTTTACCTGTATTTTCCGGATAACGTTGAGGCTATTGCAGGAATCATGATCGCAACAAGTGAGAAAATATTGATAGGGATTCATATTTATGTCGATTTTGTGTCTTCGATTTGGGTTAGTCAAACTTCAGGTAAGTGGATTCCGAATGAAACGACTTCGTCTTCCATTGGGTATTGCAAACAAATACTTATACTGGTTCCATAAATGAGTATCAATCCATTAGGAGGTTGAAGGCTGTAAGAAACATGCAAGGTTGACTATAATAGATATAGGGTGAGAATTTTTATCATATATACCCTGTTAGAGGAAAGTCGACACGGTGGCTAATATGGCGTATCCACGCCTATTGTCGTATTACCTTTATGCGTCTGTCTGCATGGACGCATAACAATATTACAAAAATATTCAAATTCTCTTATAAAACGCTATTTTATTCCGTGTAATGAAAATATCCTGTATTCATAAATTGGTCTGCTTTTGTGGAAAACCACGTTACGCTAAAAATTGGGTTAATTTACTTATTTGTTTTAAAGCTTCAATCGTGTCAGCTTAGTCTTGTTATCGCCCAAGTTGCTGAAAACAAGGTTTATCAGATTTGGAAGAGTAATAGGAGAGAGAAGATAAAGCGAGAGAATTAAAGAGAGTCGTGGATGAACGAGCGACGCAGAATAAAATAAAGAGAGAAAGATTAGAACGAGAGAAATGGAAAATTCGTAGTAAACGGACTTCGTAGCCATTCTGAATTTGGTCAGGTGCGCGATGGCAGCTAATTCTGTATGTCTGCAGTTTTTGGCGTTTCATGTCATATTTAGAAACATTTCAGGTATATTTTGACAAGCAGATGTGTATTTGAATCATTTGAGGTTTTCCACCGCAGCGGAATTACCAGTATGAGATTTAAACAATTTCAGTTAGCATATACTAATCACTTACTGACTTATGAAGCAGAAACCTACGACAGCCTATGTAATACAGGTTGAACTTAAACCGATATTAACGATTTTCAATAATGGACGCTTTCTAGCTCCGTCCAGTACAATAATGTACAGGTCGATACTTTGCGAGGGTATGTGTATAAAAGATTATCGATTGGTAAGGATTATTTCGTCGTATAGGCTCTTATTATACCAACAGCGGAGGCCCAGTTATGCATATTGAATGAGATTTATTTAAATACAGTGCTCAGAAAACCATTTCTGCTGAATTTGAGGCGTTTTAAGCTACCGAAATTGGTGACTGAAAACTTTATCGCCTATTAGTTATATATTTTTATAAATGATATTATCAAAGTAAAATATTATTTTAGCGTTTTAAAATAAGTTCAATTCGCGTATATATTTATAAATATTGTTCCATATAAAAATTATTATCAAAAATTTACGCGGTGGTATTTTTTATCATGTTGGAAACTTATAGTTTCAACGCGAAACCAGTCTCTGGTTGCGGGTTGGGAATTTTCTCTAGCCGATATAAATGGTCCTTTTTCCGGCAGCGATGCTAAACAGTCACCGGCGTCCGCGACACGCGGTGTTGGGCTTCGAGTTGTGTGTACAGCAATGGGCATAAAAGTTATATTTTATATTTCTCAGATCTTAGTTATACATTTATGAGGGATACTACCCTAGTATTGATGAAAAACCTATAAAATCGGAAATAATATTATATAAAAGAAAAACGAGAACAACACTACTACATTCTGACATTGGATTATACATATTGGATATATAAGCAACGATATTAGCTTACAACAACAGGTAATAAATGGAAATATGTCTTTTAGAAAGTAAAAGCATATATTTGATACGAAAGCAAGAGATGTGTTAAACTCGTCATAACCTATATAAACATTTTGCCGCCTTGTAGAATCACATTTAGCATAAAATATGTTTACGGTGCCTGTTGAATTCGCCGATGTCCAATATTCAAGGTTTATTATTGACGTTTTGACTTGACTGCACACGGTTTACGGCTTTGGAAAGATCGACGCTTGAGATTTCCATGTGGTCATTTCGTTATCAAAATTTAATTACTCGCAGACTTGACCGCTTTTTATTTCCAAATTACTCTCGACTTTCTCAGGTGCATTTGAAATATCACGCTGCCTCATCAAAAATTAAAGGCGATATAAGTTTAGATAATCCAATAGTACTTCCAGCGAACTTCAAATTAATTCAGTGTTTCCTTTGGAACCGCATGGGAAATTTTAAAGATAATCCGACTTGAGACATGTTTGATTTCTAAGCTCATTAGAATTCACCAAGGAAATAACTTTGCGAAAAATATAGTATATTTACCTAAAACACACCGTAATTTGAGTAATTTTTATTCACTAAATATGACTATTCAAGGGTCGTACCTAAATGTTATACGTACCAAACATTTCAGGAGTGATAAATTACAGTAAAATGCTTATTTATTTTATGAATTTTGCGATTTCTTTATGAAATATAATTATACTATCGGCGGATGACATTATTAAATCTCCCGATTAATATTTGACAATAGTTCCAGTTAATAGAAACCCAGTTAACTGCTTCGTTTGTGACGTTGCATTGTGTTGAATTGTGTACGATTTTCTAATTGTTCGATAACAATAGTGAATGACGTCGTAAATTAGGAATCGTTGATTTGTTACGCCAATTAGAAGTTACTACTTCGCTAGAAACGGTAAACAATCGCCTTGTTATAGTAAAAAAAATCGTAAATTGAACAGCAATTTGTGGGTTTCGCCACCGAGAAATGCGTACTTCATCTTGCAGAATCCCCTTTTTTGATAACTTTTTCAGTTTCAAAATATCGAATACCTAATACTTCGAAAACCATGTTACGGATTATTTCAAATAACTATCACTATAACCAGGAATATATGGAGTCAAAGGGCGATATTGGAACGTCTATTTAAAAGTATTAGACTTTTGACACAGTTTATACGTTTAGTGAATAGATACCACGTGGCGAGAACCGCGGGTTTGGCGCCGGTATGGGCAAAGGATCCTTCCGCAAACTATTTGAAACTTTATGTTCAATGGACGGGACGTTAACACACAGCGTGGTATTATTTGACTGGCGTTATAATGTGATATAACGTTCAGTTTCACAATGAAAGTGAATAATTAGTTTGTGATTTTGCAACGTTCTGTCTCGTAGGTGTTAGAAATCGTTACGATTCTAAATAGTAAATGAAACACAGTACATAAAAATGGATTAAAATCTCAGTAAAATCGCTCATTAAAACAAAGCCAACTTTTTTTAAAAACGTTTAAAAATGTTGTGAAAGCTTTGGAACTTGTCGAGAAATTTTAGGAAAACTGTTTTTATTCATACGGCGGTACTTCTTTGAGCCGCGGTCATCGATACTCTGTTGTTTGCTTAATAATTCAACGGTTTAATTTTCTTCACAGAGCGTGTGACGTCACAGACAGACGACGCGTATCATGGAAACAAGAATGTCAAAAGAAGCTCTCTTGCGCCAGGTACTGGACGCCGAAATCAGCATTCCTGATGTAAGTATACATCCACCGCTGTTACCCAATATTGATGTTCTTAACTTTAATTATTGATAAACAAGATTCGTATATTCATAGGCTTCATTAGTATTCATAAACACATTCAAACAATTTTAATTATATATATATTAGCTCTAACCAGATTACAATATTTTTTCATTATATTTGTATTACTTGTCTCGTTAGTTATTCATTCCATCGATAATATTATCTTATTTTTTTCCTTAAGTGCCGAGCGCTTTTCGAACACGAAATTCAATTAAAAATAAACTCAAAGAGTCATTATAGTTTAAAGTTACTGAGTACCGATCGAGATCGGTTTTTATTTTATAAGTAAAAGTGAGTATAAATAAGTGTAAGATTTCACTGAAATACATGTAATACGCCACATCTAGCTTTGAGTATACCGTTTTATCAGAAAATCTGAATTGTGATAAATTATTAGACAGTTCTTTAATAGTGTTCATTTATTCATATTTCAGGATAAAACAATCTACTCTTATTTACTCGGATATCGACTTTTCCAAAGCGGAGACCAACTGTTGAAGGAAATTCAGGTCCGACTTTGTGGCAAAGAATCTCCCGAAGTTGAGCGCAGATTCCAAAGGCGAAACCAAAGATTAAACCCTCGATCCAAAGGAGCTACGTGCAATAAGTGCCAAAAGAAGCACGAAAACCCCAAAATTATAAGCAAGAGTACAAATAATATGCTCGAAAAGAACAACCCTCCCCTCTACGTTGAGATGTTTCGTACCAATGTCATGATTCAAGCGACTGCTCGTCCTTTAGCAAATAACCTTTCAACTTCAGAATCGGACAATTTATCTCCCGCTTTGTCTTCAAGTTTAAGATCTGATGACATGTTAGCGAAATCGTCCGATTTTGACGATTATTGCGACATAGACGATCTCGAATTTACAGACAATCGAAGAAACACCGCCCCACCGGCTTCATTACAAGCCCTCCCTTCCCCACATAAACTTGGACAATACACTCAAAAATCGCAGAGCAAAAATCAACAAACTGGTACTGACTTTTCCACAAATAAATTGACCCCAGATTTCAAATCCACAGCAAGTTTGGGGATTTTACTCGAAAAATTACCCGAAACCAACATCGACGATGTACAATGTGCTGATGGTGTCGTTGCTTCCGGCGAAGATACAATAAGACGTAGAAAGAAAGGCAGAAGACGAACCACAATCACCGATTCCGAATTCACTGTTCCCCAAGGTGACCAACCCACAATCGAGCCCTTAAAATCCGAAACAGACTCCGTCCACCACGACCGTAGATCCGTGGCATCTAGGGACTCCGGTATTCTATCCGGTCTCATCGATAACGAACTCGATCTAGACTTTCAAAGCAATAATAATAATAACAACAAAGCCAAAAGTGCGGGCAATACAACTGAAACAGTCGTCACAAAAATGCAAAGTGAACACTCGAGCCAAAATCACGATGATAGCGGATTCATACCGTCCAACGATACTCTGGACCAACTCGCCAAAGGTAAGCTCCAAGCACATCATTACTCCATAAAAATAAAAAATATTATTACTACTTTTATTGAATCAAAAGACTTCCGTAGCTCCGTATAAGATTCAGCAGTTTCGTGTAGATGTTAACATCTAGGAACATCTGATTATTACGGTCATCTTAGCCGGTCAATTCTAAAATCCTTATTTTTTGTTCAGACATCGAAACACAGATTTGTGATCACTTATGCGACGAAAACATCGTTCCAAATGACGCCGAATCAAGGCAGTTACATCTCTTGCACGTACTTCTCGTCTGGGTCCGCGATTTCCCTTCTGATTTCAGAACAACCAAGGCCCTTGGAACGTTAAAAAGTATACTTGGGAGCTTGGAAAAAGGCAAAAAGGTAAGAATAGTATTTCAATTTACATGAATATCATTTGTGGCATTCAGCCTTTTATCCTATGTAAAAACTATACTACGTAACAACCGGGTTATTACTTAGTCAAGTAATGTCTCTTCCAAGATTCAAGATTTTCAAGTCAATGCTTTAATTTTAGGATCTCAAAGACCACTGCAGCCAGGTTCTTGATACCTTGAGTCGATGCACGAATGTGCAAAACACTTATGAAAAGTATCTGCTCGATGCAGAAAAGAAAGACACCCTGAAAAAGTCCGAAGACTTCCACGCAAATAAAGAGGACATGATCTCCATGGTTACCGGAATGAACGACGTAGGAGATGCCTACAAGATGGCTGAACAACTGTGCCTTATCGAAATGGTAAGATACAAATCGATTTAACATAAACGTAAATTAAGATGAATTAAATGATATTTTCACAGTCTTGGTAATATCGTTCTATATCCACCTGGATGGGCCATTCTTATTCTTGTATTCTTTAAAGATAACACTAGTTTTCAATGTCTATAACATTTCTTTTTCATTTTCAGGATCTTCTGAGTCATCTCGGAGCGGAAGAATTTTTACAAATGTTCGACACCAAGAAAAACGATTCTACGAAAACGAATTTGGGGGCTTCTGTTGCTTGGTTTAACCGATTAAGTCATCTCGTCGCAACTTCAGTTTGTGTGGTAAGTGTACTGTTAGTTATCCATTGAAAACTTATATGAATGCATAATTATTTTCAGCCTTTCATCACATACTACTAGTTAAATAATTCCAACGATTTAACCAATTTGTAAACCGCAGTTTTCTTTGCTTTTTTCGTTCTAACATGTAATATTCTTTTGCAGTGTCGAAAGCCAAAGCACAGACGTCACGTGATCTCTTTATTCACCCGAGCTGCATCAAGGTGTTACGAATTATCAAATTTCAATTCAGCAATGGCTATTCTAACCGGTCTCAGCTTGGGTGCAGTTTCAAGGCTAAAACGAACATGGAACAAGGTGGAAATCGAAGAAATCGAACGCTTACAGGTAACTATCCCTCTACTCTTTGTTTAGATATTTATATAAATCAAAAATCAAAATATATACCAACTTATAGAAGTCAAAAATGTTGATTGAAAACTACCATTTGAATTTATCACACATTTTAGGTATTTAGTTTTATAGATTGATTGGCCATTCTATCCACATTACTAAATTTATTATTCATTTTTCAGAGCGTGTTCGACCCTAGCAACAACTTCCGTCGGTATCGCACCATGTTCAATGAAAGATGGGCGGCAATGCGTAGTCAACAATCTCCCGGAAGTGACGTCAAACCCCAACCAATCCCAGAAAACCGATATTCAACTGTATCACAACATTCTGCGACATCACGATTATCGGTCGCCTCTCTTACGTCACAACATAGAGACTCCGGGATCGAATGCGAAAACGAATCCGCATCGACATCAAAATCGTCGCCAACTACGTCATCATCGACGTCATCGTCACCTAAAAGCAGGTTCACTTTTGACGATATCACATCAAGAACCGGAATCGAAGATGGTGTACTCGTACCGTTCTTGACGTTAATGGTTAAAGACGTTTATTTCCTCAACCACGCGACACCGACAGTCGAAAACGATGGAACGATAAATTTTGAGGTAATTTGAATTGCTTTTTCGACCACACACTTTAATTAAAAACGTCATTGGACTTTAAAACATCTAAGACTGGGTTTCACATTTCTGTAATATCATTAAATGCCTATGACAAGGAATAATTCAACAGGTTTCGCTGAATGCCCCATATCGCACTGTTTTCTGCTTTTTTATATCAGTAATTTAAGTTACAAACTTTTACATACAATATCAATCTAAACTTCAATTTTTCAATCACAGAAACTTCGTCATCTTGGTGAAATATTACATCCGTTGGAAACGTGGAAGAACACTCCTTGTGTTTATAAGAAGAACGAAGAGTTACAAGAATTTCTTCTTCATTCAACGATATTAAAAGATTCAGGTAAATAGTACTTTTTTTTTCAACTTTTTCGTAATATTTTGGTCATGTAGTAAGAAGTAAACGAGAAAAAAACTGTATTTCAATACACAATATCCCAAAACCCTACATAAGTTGCCACAAGAAAGCTGAACTAGATAGTATTAATTAAACAAACAGTTTTAATAACAAATTTACATATTTATTTCACAAATATACTTGCTATTTCGCGGAGAAAGAGATTGTTATTCTCATTTATGTTATAAATTATGCGTTTAGTGTTTTTAAATCAAAAATATCAAATTATAACTTTTTGTTATTCTTTTCAGAACTTTACAATTTGTCTTACAAACGTGAACCACCCAAAAACAAGTTTGAAAAATCACAACTAAAGACGATACGAGCGGAAATGGAATACAGAAAACGCGGGAACATGGTCAGGCGAATGATCGCTAGGAGAAAGACCATGTAAACCTCATTGAACTGATGGCGTCATAGATAGATGACGTCACACATGGTTCTTAAATCGAAGCTCTTGGAAGTTCTTCCGAGTGCGGAATAGAGAGGAGGAGGCTGCCGCCGAATACAATCCACGATTGTTATTATGCATTCCCGCATCATTGTGACGCACAATTACACTTGATGCAGTATTGTTACGCACAATATAACTTACATGAACATTCCGTTTGTTTTGTTGTTACATAACAAAAGGCATACTAGGACACCTATGAGGTGGTCCGATCATTCCTGTTTAGTGTCAATGTATAGTACCTAGTACTCAACTCAGGGGGAATAACCGTTATATTCCCCCCAAATGAAATGTACAATAATTATTGTATCTAAAATAGATGTGATTTTGACAACTATTGCCTTGGATACTATTAGAAAAACGTGAAATTACTTGAATTTGGTGGTTATTGATAGTCTTTTCACTGTTCTTCTAGTAGTAAAGGCAATTGAAATATTAGTTCGTCCCATGACAATCAAACTATGAGGATTGTTGTTGTTATGTTTGATTTTGCAAGAGTGCCTTATGTTGTTGTTTATCTGAGAATTTGTTTCACGTGTTTAATTTTTTTCTTGCACTAGTGCGAATTCCTTAGAAGGTGTTTCAAACCGCCTGAAAAATCGCAAAATTCAGTAGAAAAATCAGTAGTTTCTAGTGTAATCACTGTTGTAATGTATACATTTGATTCCCAGCTTATATATATATATAAAGGGAGATAATGGGAAATATATATATAATTTGATTTGCCCATAAATAATAAATAAATTAAAGAAACACGCGCCTGCGATGCATCTGATCCCGTATCATTTTTGTGGATGAAACAATTGTTTTGTTCATTTTCACAAAATAACAAATATTCACATCCTCGAGCGCGAAATTTTTGACCAAACTGTGAAAAATTGAAGTAGCAAAAACTGTGGCTTTAAAAATCATTTAAAACCAGTGAAAAATTATAAAATTTATCGTCAACCTTTTTTCATTTTGTTTTTGTTTGAAAAATATTGTTCCTATTGTTTCCATTTTTGCCGAATTTTTTCCGCGTAGATTTTGTTTTCGAAAATCTATTTTTTGTACTTTATTTTTTTGTTTAATATTATAAATATTGACGCTTTAACTGCCCGCAAATTATAGTTTGTGCAAGAAAAACTTTGTTGAGTATGCTCAAATTGGCTGTGATTTAGCTGATCTAAATTTGATGTATATTTTACAAAGTAATTGTACAATAATTTTGTCAATGCTGTGTTGCGTTTCAAATGCTCATTAGAGGTTATATTGCAAATTTTGCTTATTTTTCGCAAATAAATGAAAAAGCTGAGAAAACTACATGTTGTGATGTTGGATAGAATAGAATTACAGACAGATGAAGGCGAGACGTTAGTGGTGAGAGCTTTCTCTTAACATCTTATATAACAGCGGTACCCAACCGGGGGCCCATGGCCCTCCAAGAGGGCCACAGAACAGGTGAAGAGGGCCACAATGCTAGGCGCAAAACTGATTTTACGTTTCCCTTTACAAGAAAACTTCCTGTTTTTTCTAGTTTCATTGCTTGATAAGGTTATTTCACAGGGTGTTTTCACTTTGTTGAGCATGAATTGTTTAAGTCACAACCAAACTCCCCCGTTTCTTCTAGTTTCATTGCTTGATAAAGGTATTTCACAGGGTGTTTTCACTTTGTTAAGCATGAATTGTTTGATAATAATTGGAATCGGAATCTACCAATCAAAATAACATGATTACCACGGAGACGATAAACAGAGGGAGGAGCCACGAAGGCTAAAAGCATCCGGAAGGGGGTCACGAGCCATAGAAAGTTAGGAACCACTGTTTTAAAATATAGAGTTTTTATCGCTAACAGCTTTGAAACCTCGCATATGACAGTTAAATCAAAAACACCCTGGGTTTGTGTTAATTGCTGGACAGCTCAGATTTTTAGATCACCTGAGTCAGGCCATACTATAAACGAGGTGAAGGAAACATCGATAACCACAGTTTTTTCCTCAGTTGTTCTAGTATTTCCCTGTACTAGTTCTAGTTCCATCGTAGAGATTTGTTCTCATGTAGGAGTCCCACACAAATTGCAAATAAATATTCCGGGCTGGAAAACCAACATGTGAAAGCAACTGATGACGCTCCAGAAGTGTGTGTACCAATATGAAGGTAACTAATTTCGCTCGGCTATTTTACATCAAGTTGTGTAAAGCAACGGAAGCCTATGGGCGGGGGTATATTCACTTGACTAACACAGACAGTTCCCGAACTCGTTATAAAACTGAAATAAGGAAAATAAGAAGAAAATTATGGCCAAATCCTAACCTGGTATACATACTACGGGAGTATCCAACTGATAACCAGAATATATATTTTTGTATCAAACCGTGACGGCTAACTATAGTATTATACTGAATGCTAATAACTCGGTTTTCATCAAACCGGGCACTCGGAACGTGTGATTTCTTTTATTCTTCGACTGTAATGGCAAATATTATTCCAAATTAATAAACTTGCGGCTGAGACGACATACTATGTACCTCGGACAATATGTCTCCGATACGAGCTTACTTTTTCAACCACGAGAAACACTGTATTTACTAGCAGTGGTTCTCAAACTTTTCAAGTCGCGCCCCTTTTTCAAAATTTTGTCAAGTCTCGCGCCCCACCTCTAAACAACTATCTAACAATAAGCTACAAATAACAGATAGTATAGCGAAAATATGTTTTATTTATAAAACAAGTTGAAAATATGTTCAATTCAAGGTTTTGTAGTGGATAATGCACATCGTAAATCGCTTTCACAATTAACAATAAAAATGTAAATATCCAAAATAAGGCGGCCAAGATCGAATCTAACAAATATTTTTATTTTTCATTAGACTCACGCCCCCTTGCAAAGGGTGTCTATTGTGTATGGCGCGTCCCATCGTTTTAGAACCACTGTACTAGATTGAGCACTTTGCTAAACGTTGTAGAAGAGTTTTTGTGATTGGGGACAAGTTTTGTCTTCTATTATTCATCTGTCACCCCATCGTTCACCGCAAAGAAGTTGGTCACACTATGACGAAGATTAGTTGATGAGAGTTGAATAAGTTGTATTGTAAACATCGAACATTGTATTAACATAGCGAGTGATTCTTATCAGGCTTACTTCGAGTGATGCATGCACAGTTAAAAAAATAGAAACACAATTCAAATCGAATAGTGTTGTTAACCATTGCGGGATTAAAACAGAGAAAGAATCCCTATTAAAGTTTGTCTGCAAAATCATTCGAAATGATTGCTAAACTGTATGGTTTACTTCTCACTAATTGCATATCTCCGTTGTTATGTCAGATACATTCTTGCATTTTCGGGACGGGTGACGGTTGAATTCTTAGCAAAAGCTGTCAGTTTTCTTCAACTCCCCCCTATAATGTTTTGTACCCACACCCAGACGCAATACACTCCAGTGGAAGCATTATCAGATTCTTCGTACAAAGTCTCCACAAAAAAAACGTCAACGCTTAAAATAGGAAATTGGTGATTGATTATCCAGTTAGGGTTTGTGTTTGGAATGCAGATCACGCTGGACATTCCATACTTATAAAGTGTTTTTCTAACATCTCACATTTAGCATTAGCGGCGGAGGCTTTTTACAAAAGATCCGCATCACCTGCTCTTACTTTTCATCTGCTTTTATTGGCAAGTGGACTATCAAACTACATATATTGTGATAGAGAACTGGCACTTGTTGTTTAAGCACTCAATTTTTGCTTGTTGTTGAAAAGATCCAAGTTTCTATAGACGTTAGCTACCAAAGGCGGCGAGACGCTTTTGAAGTTGTGAAAGCTGGTTTGGAGTTCTCCAAATCATTCCTAACGTCACTTGTTGATCACTTAATTTATAAAATTTTTTGTAACCTGCAGCCTAAATAATACAAACGATGCGAAACTGTAAAAAATCAGACCAAGCCATGACGCGAATCAAATATAAAATGTATTTATTTTTTGACTCAAGAGCATCATCTACTGGAACAATCTCTGATTCATTTATAATAGAGCGTTTGTTTGTCCAATGTTATTTCCAGAAAATATCCGATTTTTCTTTAAATTCGTTACACCCAGATGATTCCTTGATTACCCCAAGTCTAAGACATATGTCACTGCAAATCTTCATGCAACTATTCAGCGCGCAATAGTGTTAGTGTTTGTGACATGCGTCCCAGCGGTCGAGACTGTTTTGCATACTGGTCTACGTAGCCCAGAAGCGGAACCGAACGAATTGTCCAACACACAGATTTTGAGCTTATATGCTTTGGAGAAAGGCGTCAAATGAAGATAACAACATGTTATATTTACCTTATACTAAATTGTTGAGTATCTCCCACGAGTCTCCGTCTTGATCTTGACATTCTTCAGATTATTTCGTGTCCTTCAGGTAGTAAAGATGTACTTGAAACGGGGTGTGCAAGGGATACCAAGGGTGTGCAACCTGCGACCCGGGGCCAAGTGCAACCCACAAGAAAAAACAGTGCGGCCCACGGAGGGGAACTAATTCTGAAAGGTGTACGACCCGCGAAACGAGTTTATAACTTGGTTTAATCTGGCATGTGCGAGTAATCCCAAAACCTTTGCGTTGCAAAGCCTATACCTGATTCCAATTTATTATCTATACATATGACGTTACAATGCCCTAACACAGCGGTTCCCAAAAAGTGCGCCGCGGCGCACTAGTGCACCGTGACGAGTTGCTAGGTGATAAACATAACTGAAAAATGATTGAATATTCTACAAATTGTATTTATTTTAAATGTTTCTTCCTCCAAATGCTGTGTATATGAATCAATGAATTCATTTCACTTTTGTATGTCGTTTACTTTTGTCTGCCTCTATTGTTACGTAACAATATAGGTAATCATTATTTGCTGAAATTTCGTGATCTGCAGTCCATTTATCTGCTGAATCGAGTTTAGCGAACATGAGTGATCACAAAATTGACTTTTGTTTGAGAGCAGCATTTTTTTCGTGTAAGTGCGCCGTGAGTTTTTCTCCCTGGTAAAATGGCGCCGCGCGAACAAAAAGTTTGGGAACCGCTGCCCTAACTGCTGGCTTGTGCGAAGCGAACAACACATATCATAAGAATATTAACTAAAGGTTACATATCCCTAATCTAAACAAAGGGGCCCGACTAACCGCAAATGCATTCCTATGTTGTTTATGAAACCTGCTAAGCCTTGTGAATCTAAACAGCAATGACTAAGCTTGCTTAATTATTCGGCAGGCAGTGACTTGACTTTTAAACTTTACTGGGACTACAACATAAGTTACATAACTTGTTTCACGACTTCGGGTTTGGGGACTTGTGGCTAAAACACATACCTTTCAATTGCATAAACATTCAACAACTCGCATATCTAATTCTAGCAAGCCGACTGATAACGTAGCTCGCAATGATATCTGAAAAATTATTAAGATTTTGGATGTTTCCTCAACTTCATCCCGTTAGCTATTTTACGAACCTGTGTGTATGTTCCTGGTCCCAATATAATCAAATAACCGGATACTTTTCCTGGAAAGGGTTTGTGGACGCGCCCTTTTGTCCGATTACTAATCTATGTAGGGCACAGCAATAATTATCCAGTTATCTGTTTTGGGTGCACGGTTTTAATTACTATGGTATATATAGGACTAATGACTGCTGGTGTATAAAGCCCAAAGACTAATAAATCTAGCTAGTACATGATGTCTTCTCTCACAAGGTCCTAATACTAACTTATACGAGCAAATTACAGTGCGGTTCACATCCTCCAACTTAATATCGTAAAGTACGTCCATGCCATAATATACAAATTACATGTAGTCTATGTCGGCTTCATCGTATCCATGATGATTCTATATTCAGGTCTACATTGCAAGACAACTATAACTAAAAACGCCAGTTGTCAACATCAAATAATACAACACTAGATTACCTCTAAGCCGTACGGCATTCTTAGACGAACAGGACAACCAATCAACAACACTAGTGCATAGGCCAGGGGTGGGCAACCTTTTTCAGCTCGCGTGCCAAAGTCGGCTAAATTTAACGACAAAACTGTTTCGCGTGCCGACCAAAATTAAGAACAACGCTTCGCCACTTTTAAAGCAAAGATACGCAATAATAAACCTTTTAAACATGTACAGACAAATTCACTAATCGGAAAAATATCATTCCGACAAATGGATTTGATTACTTTTCTTATTCTATACCAGTGAGACTTCTGCTGCTGCATTACTGCTTAGGCTTGCACGTAATATACAGATTTACGGAATTACGGAATTATTTCGAGTTACGGAAGGGAAGTTACGAAT